GATCAAAGCCTGTTCCTCTCTGCAGACTCAGTGTCTCCTTCATCTCTTCCAGCGAACAACTACCTGGAGTCCAAGTGTGAAACTGTGCTTCAGGAAATGCGGAAGTGCTGCGCCCGGTACACCCAGGGCAGATCCGTCTGTTGTTCAGGGTTTGAGAGAGAAGAAAGGGAGAGACAGAAGTTTAAGGTGACTTCAGAAGGAATTCCCCCACCACCTCAGTAACACAATGCAGCTCCAGCGGGTGCTGGAGCGTGGACTCACCTGCAGAGCTCGTGTGTGTTTTTTCAAGCCTTCTTTAGACTTTCAGGAGAGCCAGACTGCTCCTAGAACACACTGTTCGGCACACCAAAAAGTATAACAGTACCAACAGATGGCCTGGTTAACAAACTGTACCTTCTATACGAAAACATCATCTATGTTGCCTCTGCATCACACCTGTGAAAAGTCAACTCAGTGTTTTTAGAATGCTTACCTTACTCTGATCCATCCTTGCTCTTAAAATGGAGAATTGGAACCAAGTTATTCTGGCTCCTGGAGCGAGAGGTACAGGAAATGAGCTCAGAAGAGTGAGTTTAAACGTGACACATGAAACAAGCCCATCTTCACACAACAAAGGTATTGCTGCCATCATGCAGTAGTTCCAGACAACGTTTGCCTGTCCAGTGGTTTAAGCTCAAGAGTGGGAATCAGGTCTGATAATTGTTCCTAAGTCTTGCATAGATCATGAGTGACTACAAGTCACTTTGCCTAAGTGCCTCCCTTTGCCACTGGGCAGACTTGTTTATTTTATATTTGAATTGCCTACACGCTGCTATTTGCATGACAAAGATGTTACAGGAACATTATTTCAGGGATTGCTACAGGGATAGGATATTTTTTTAAAAAAAGCAATATTCATTTGAAAGATCTGACTGTTGATACAAAATTTATAAATTATGTCTAATTGAACACCTTTTAAGCAATATGTTATGAACCCAGTCTAGTTCAAACTGCTGAAACCCAAAGGCCTGTCACAGAGCCCTGGGCTAGATCCAAGAACTGACTTAGGCGCTGCTTACTGAACAAGCAGTTGTAGGCACTGGTTTTCCACACAGCATTCCAGACTCACCCACAATCCGGCTGTGTCTGGACCCCAGGAGAGATGGCTTTTCCAGAAGCTCTCGCCCACGCAGCAGAATTTCCTGTGACCTGTAGGAAGAGCTCAGTAGACAGGTTCCTGCACCGCCCTTCAGAGCTGTCTCGCTGTCCCCTGTAGCAGGAGTCCAGGCACCTCAATATCAGGCTCCACACCCACTAGGCCCTAACTCTGTCACTAGATCTAGCCATCAAGGACTTTGTGCTGTGAGCAAGTACAACTTACTTATGAAATACAGCTTCTATAAACAGACCACTGAGGTCTAGGCACAATAGTTGTGTGTATTGAAGCCTAGAAGAGCAAACCATCTGTATTCACTGACTCTGAAATACCATGATACAAAATAAACGACTGGAACAAGTTGTGGTCTCGGCGTGGTTGGTTTGTTGGGCAGTGTGGCTGCCAGAGCCACACTGTGATACCATCATGTTTAAATAGAAGCTGCTTGATGTTTTTATAACTGGGGCTGAAGATCAGAATAATTTAGGGTTAGTCTTCCCTTCCCACTGCCCTCCCCCCCCAAAAATAATCCCTTAAGACCGATCAGGGGGGTTTAGTACCCTTGAAAAGTAGGGGAAAATTGTGACAATGTTGTGAAGCAGCTCAAATGTTGACAAGTAGCTAATTTTTTTCATTTTGCCCTACCTGAGCAGGAACAGTGCAAAGAAAGTCACTAATAGAAATATATATTTAGGCTTCTGTTGCACCCAAGAAGAATAAAAAGCCTTGTCTCCATGCCCATTTCTAGTTGGGTGGAATAAACTTGCTCAGCAGAGGCTCTGAACCCAGGCTGGCAACAGAATCACCTCCTGCCCTAGAAGCATCCCACTTCTTGGGAATATAGGTGATTGCTGCCAGGATGATCAAGGAGAGGAATTTATTAAGGCAGCCCATGGTTACCCACATAGAAGAAGGAAGGCTGGTGGCCTCATTTATGTTGGAAAAGACCTTTAAGATTGAGTCCAACCCTTCCCCCAGCACTGCCAAGCCCATCACTAAACCATGTCCCTGAGCACCACATGGGCACACCTCTTAAATGCCTCCAGAGATGGTGACTCCACCCTGCTCTGTTGTGCAGCCTGTGCCAGGGCTGGACAACCCTTCCAGTGAAGAAATTTTCCCTAATATCCAATCTAAACCTCTCCTGGCACAACTTGAGGGCCTTCTCTCTTGTCCTGTCACTTGTTACCTGGGAGACTGAGCCCCACCTGGCTCCACTGTCCTGTCAGGGGGTCCCGGTGGCCACAATATTTCTGGCACAAGCCAGGATGCTGTTGGCCACCTTGGCCACCTGGGCACATCCCAGACTCCTGCTGCTGGAGTGGCTGTAGCTGCTGCCCTGAGTCAAGCACAACACACAGAGTGAGACAAAAACATGCTGGCTCCCAATAATCCAACAGACCTCGCACACAGAAGCTATTAGAGCAAAACTGTTTAATAAAATATCACTTCAACAAGCATTTACATACAATATATAAAACCACTTTAAAAGCTTAATGTGTTTGAAATCTTCTCGCACTGTAACAGATGTCAGAAGTTGTTTAAACAAGACTAGAAGGAGCAGGAGTGGGGAGGGGAGGGACACCTCATCTTGGCACCTGCAACAATGAAAATGCACCCCCACAGAGGCTGATTCGGCATCAAAGCTTTTGACTGTGAACCCACAGCATCAAACGGTGCCAGCCACAAGCCCAATCACAGCACACTCAACGAGAACTTGCTACTTGTTTCTCCTTCCAGCAGCAATTGAGGCGTTTTAGCTCCCTCTCTGGGCCATTTCTCTCCGTAGCAGCAAATTGGGACTCCAGAACCCAGTACACCCTTCCCTAGGGCTGGGCAGAAATAGTGACTTATCTGAGCCTGGAAAACATTCCTAAGGTCTGTTAGTGATTTGCTTTGAGCTTTGTGGACATTAGTGCATCTCAGAAGAAGCTGTGCTATGCAGCCCACCCAGCTAAAGGGCAGCAATGCTGTTTCCCTACAGGAACAAGGGATACTCTGCAAGACAAATGTATCCATTCATGAACATTCATTTCCGCAGGTACTACAGAAAAAAACCCACAACAACCCAAAACCCACCACCACCATCTGTCACTCCACTGCCAAACACCAATTTACTGGAGACCTACTGGCTGCATCACATCATCCCTGCAGTCCTGGATGGCTTTTAGGAAGGCCATGGTTAAAAGAATGTGAGCCCAGATGCTCCCTCATTCTCCTTGGCCACGTGTGGCAGGACAGGAGCAAAGACACAGCTTGTGTCTCTTGGTTATCTGCAGCCTCTTTTCAGATTCTGAAGGAGAGAAAACCTCAGTTTAACCACCGTGTTGCTACCCTGACACTTCACTTTCAGAGCTGAAACAAAATTAACAACTGCAAGTGCTCATTCCAAAACCTCTGGTGGAAGAACCCATTCTTCCAGCAGCTCTCAGGGGAAGATCCCATTTCCAGCCATACTGAGGGCACCAGCAGCAGATCACAAATGCACCACACAGCACTGGAAATGGGGTGCAGCTGCTGAGCCAGGTGCTGCAAACCAATCACCCCCGAGTGTCACTGTTCCCAGCGTGTTTCCCATTGAAGGATGGGCTGACTTTCCCATAAAACCCCACATTCTGGGCCAGAACTCCCACATGTACCTGCTGGAGGACATCACTATGCTGGCCTGCAAACCTCCATGCTTGCAGAATACCTCGGAGGGATTTCTGTTTGTAATTTTCTCTCATGGAAATTCTAGTAGAGCTCTTCTCTGCACACAGCTGCACTGGACCAGGCTGTCCAAAAACAGCTGAGCTCTGCACCTGGCTGACTCATCACCTGCAGGAGAAGGGCTGCAGCTGATGGAATTAAGCAAGCAGCCTTTCTTGTGGAAATGGCAAACACAAAGAAGAAAGGAACATAACCAAGGCAGAAAGTATGCAAATGAGCCACTCCCACAAGACTACAACCTGGTTTTCCCAATAGTTTTGTCATTTCAGTTGCTTGCAGAGGCCAGGGAGATGGAGTGTGTGCTCTGCAGAGACAGGTAAAGGACTCAATTCCAGATTTCACATCATCCTCCTGCTCCAGTAGAGCTGGCAACCCTGGCCCAGTACAACGTACCCCAAGCAGGGATGCATTTCCCGTCTACCATCCTGCCTCACATGGTTACACCATTGCTCTTCAATGCCAAAGTGACCAGAGAAGGTCATGGCAGACACAGAAACACCGGTCAGAGGCCCAGGGTGATTTCCAGTAAGTGGCACAGCTGAAACACCAGCCTGACACAGACAGGTTGGGCCTGCTGAAAGGAGAGACCCTCAAAGGCTGAGCAGTCAGGTGGCAAATAAGAAGGTGCTCTACAGCACAGGGAGCTTGGTGGCTTTCAGAAAGCATGATGAGGAAAGGGCCTGGAGACTCAGTTTCCATCAGCAGTGCAGTGCTGCAGTTCCAGTACGGGGAAATTTAACAGCAGAGAGGAAGCAGAACAGCCATCTGTGCAGTGCAATGGCAGAGGGAGGGCAGGAGAATCCTTATTTACCTGCCCTGGACACAGCTCAGGCTGTGCCCTGACACTTCTGCATTCACCCCAAGACAGCCAACCACATTTTGGATTGCACAGACCACCTGTGTGAAGAGGGAAGCACAGGTTTTCCAGGTGCCAGGGCAGGAATACTGAAAGCTAAACGGTGAACAGCTGACAGCTGTTGTACACATATACTGGCAGACAAGTGTGCATGTGAGAGTCCTGAGCGTCTGTGGAAAAGCACATTTAAAAGATTTCTCTGCCACTACATGTTTATGAGATTGCAACTCATCAGAAGATTTGGGACTGGGCATATTCTGTGGGGAAAGGGATCATAATAATACACTGGGAGTCATAAGCTTTCAGACTGATCCCAGCACACTGACAGCCCAGACTGATGAAAAATGTGGAAATCAGAAGCAGCGTTGTAAGAAATAAGGGCTGGAACCTGTGAGCAGAAGGGACTGAGTCTGTTGGCAACATCCTTTGACTTCTAAGTGAGAGATAACAGCAGTACAGGAGGGGAGGGGAGGTTGGGCACGAAAGGAGAGTCGAGTGCAGCTTCTAGGATGCCATTCCAATCAAGAATCCTCCAGCAAACCCTCCAGTCAGGATAACATTCTTCTTCAGAAATATGATCACCTAAGCAGGGCAGAGAATAGGCAACAGTGTTCAACAACAGCAGGTCACCCACCTACCCTCCCCAGAAGAAGAAATCCCTCAGGCTCTTTCTGTTCTTCAAGGCAAGTGATGCTCAGAGATGCCACTGCTCAGGTTTGGGGAAGTATCCAACCTAATGACCTCCCCTCCCCTCTCAACAGCAGCCTCACCAGTGCCCAGCACAGGGGACAGTCACTGCCCTGGTCCTGCTGCCACACTGTTGCTGGCACAGGCCAGGTACCCTTGGCCTCCTTGCCCCCCTGGGCACACCCTGGCTCATGTTCAGGTGCTGTGCACCAGCACCCCCAGCTCCTTTCCCCACGGGCACTTTCCAGCCACTCTGCCCCAGCCTGGAGCTGCAGGGGGTTGTTGTGACCCAAGGGCAGGACCTGACACTTGGCCTGGTTGAACCTCATCCAGCTGCCTCAGCCCATGGATCCAGCCTGTCCAGACCCCTCTGCAGAGCATTCCTGCCCTCCAGCAGACCAACACTCCTGCCCAACCTGGTGTTATCTGCAAACTGACTGAGGGTGCCCTCAATCCCCTCATCCAGATCATTGATAAAGGTGTTAAACAGGACTGGCCCCAACACTGAACCCTGGGACAGCACTAGTGACCAACCCCAAGTGGATTTAATTCCATTCCCCACCACTCCCTGGGCCCGGCCATCCAGCCAGTTTCTCCAGGAGAATCCTGTGGGACACAGTGTCAAAGGCTTTACTAAAGTCTAGGTACACAACACCCACAGCCTTTGCCACCTCTCCTGTTTTGCTGCCATGCAAGCATTCCCTCCTTGTATTTGCATAATGAAAGATCCGTAACAGCTCAGGAGTCAATCCTGTTTTCCAGCACAAGCCTTGGGAGAGTTGTCTCACCTCATCCACTCTGCTTTTCACTTCTGGAGGCATTTTATTACCACTGCTGTGAAATTTCAGCTGCTCCTTGGCTTTGTTCATGTCCCGTTGTACCAGATTCCAGTCCACTTTGATGTATCCCGTGTGGTTTGCAATCTAGAATTTTGAGGATTGGAAAAAAAGTTCCTGCACGACCATGGCTAAACAGACCCCCTCACCCATTCACCTTCCCTGACCTCCCACACACTAGTCCAGTGGGCACATCAGCTTAAAAACTGGACAGATGACCACCCCTGGAGCTGTATTAACTCTCCTGCAACATCTGTCTCCTACAGTAGTCCCCAAACAGCAGGGCACACACTGCAGCTTAGCCTGCTTCAGCCTCTATTCCCTAACACAAAGCTGGCACCACCTCCCCCTCACAACTGCCATGGATATCGGTGGGACTCTGCAGTTCTCCTGCTGCTGTGGGTGGACACAGCTATTAATAGCCTGTTCCTCACAAACTATTTTATCTGCTCAGGGTGATTCAGCAGTGGAAGTCCTCCTGCTCAGAGTAAGCTTTTCCCTTTCAGCAGATCAAGCAGAGCCACACATAAAACTTACCTGTTTGCCCGAGGAGCAAACAGGTAAGTGTTGAACAGGGCCTAAGAGCTGCTCTGCCTGCTGCAAGATGTATGAGCCAGATGCCCACATCCAAGCAGATTCCCTCAGTGCCAGGGTTATTAGAAATCAGGAGAAGTGGCTTAGGACAAAGAGAGACCTCTGTTTTCTCTCCTCTTCCCCAGTGCTTTACAGAGAGCCCCATCTGTGCTGGCCAGACTCCTGAAGTAGCCAGGTTGAAGGAAGCATGTCACAGGTACAGATAAATCCTTGACATCCAGGGCTGTTCCTGCAGGGACACCATGTCCACAGGCCCAGGGCTCAGTACATTAGCCAGTTCTGAGCAGACAGTCCTGCAGCAGCACCATGGTTCACTGCAGCTGAGGGCTGCCTCATGCTCCACTCAGGTGCCCCTGCAGTAAGAGCCCCCTCGTGTCCTTGGCCTGAGGATGAATCTCACAGTGGATCTGCACCTTTTAGCAATCCTGAAGTTTATGCACATTGATCCTGCTTTGCTGCTGTATCCATGTGGTCTGGGGAACACGCCTTTGACATCCACAGCCACACAAAGCTCCTGGCAGAGTGGCCCCACATGTCCCAACAGGCAGTGATTCCTAGACAGCCCTTCATCCCCCCCAGCACAGTTCCTGGAAAGCCTGGACTGCTGTTCATACACACCTGAAGTAGGAAAAATCCACCTCCCACCGCTGTCGCTGCCAGCTTTCCGACTTTCTGGAAGACGAATCCAGTACACCTGCAAATCAACCAGGATCCAGTCAGGAGAATGAGACACCAAACACACACTCCTCATCATGCTTCCCACAGGCAAGACTGCCTTTGGCAGAAGTTACCCAAGACTTGGAGACAGATGAACAGCAGAAGAAACCCATGTGCAATCAGAGAGAAGGATTTGCACCCAGCCAAAAACTGATGCTTTATAGCTTTTCACTTCCTGCTGTCACAATTCAGCCTTTTGCAGTTTGATTTTTATCTCCTCAACACCACCCTTCTCCTAGAAGAGAGACATGTTTCTAATCAGAAACGTGTGATTTCACCAAAATCAAAGTGATTTCTGGTTTTGTTTTGGGCTATTTTTTTTTAACCAGTATTGTCCCTGAAGGGAAATTAGGCAGCACACGTGCTGCTCCATGACAGAGCACGGGGAGCAGATCACTAGAAAAGCTTCTCTGTTGTCCAAACAACTGCTTGCTTTTCCTTTTCATTTCTCAGAAGAGGAGAATGCTGGAACAAGCAGACAGCAGTGGTCTAAAGCCATACTGGTCTCCAAAATGGGTTACATGCTCCCAACATGAAAGGCATTACTGCAGCCACCAGAACCCAAGCCAGCACCACCCCATTGCTCAGTCATGCAGCAAAGGGCTGGGGTGTTGTATCACCCAAACCAGACTTTGCTTGGAACACAGCTCCCTTATCAACACTGCAAACACCACAGGCACCTGCCTTTACCCATTTTGGAATACACTTAGGGAAGGTACAAGGGAGAGGTGGCCAGCTCTCACTTCCATCAGAAAATGAAGTTAAACAGTTACCCTGGTGCCAGGTGAAGACAA